GCCAGAGAATAATCAGAAGGTTGCTTGGTAAACATGGGATCAGGAAATATTAATGGATAGATGGGTAATAACATCAGGCAGAAACATCCTGACACATGCATCCTACCCCAGGGTCAGCCTCCCCGACACCAGCAGAACAGTGAAAGTCTGAAAGTTTACAGGTTACCTCTTCCTCTTCTGGAGACAATGCTAGGCCAGCACTGCCGCCATATGCCTCAAGATGCCCCTCTTTCTAGGCTCCCACCTTCTGATTAGCTATTCTTCCATCCTTCTCATATGTCAATATGCTCATGTCACCTCCGTCAAGTCTGCCACGTGCTCTGAGCTCCAGAACCCTTCTGTTGTTGTAAGACGATGGTAGCTATGTCTGATTGGATCATTTATATGATGATTTCACAGTCTAATTCTGTGAAGACGTCTTATTTCCTTCAGTTTCAAGTTCCTGGGAGATAACTCACTCTAGCTCCTATCAATAGCAGTTTGGACCAGGGACCAGGGCTGGAAGGACGTTGGAAGTAACTGCTCTAGAATACAACTGAGGCTGCAGAATGTTTTCTTGCTCATCATCTACGTCTTCTCCAACTGGGCTTTTTGGGGTTGGAGCTCCCAGTGTCTGATGGGCTTTGTTCAAACCATCAATCACAGCGGTGGTAATATTTCCTCTCAATTTGAAGCATGCCTAATCCTTGTCTCTCTGCTTCTCTCATGATGAGAAGCTGCTGAGCCTTCATTGATTCTCAGAAGTAGGTATGGCTTTTAGCCCTGCATTAACCTGCTTCAGAAGAGCAGGGTGTTTATTTTTGTGCTCTCCGTAACACTGACTTCCTGAAGCTGAACTATGTCCTCTTTTAGCCATTTACTTGGTGAGAAAGTTAGTAAAAATGAAAGGAGGAGGAGGAGGAGGAAGAGGAGGTAACACGTAACATAATTCTACTAGATTTTCAGCCTCTTAATTGCAGCAGAATTCCTTTAAAACAAACATTCAATAAATATGGGAGTGGGAACGGCTAGTTGCGGAGGAAGTAACTGTAAGTGCCCAAACTGAACACCTTCTCATCCTTTCGGCACTCTGAGCCCTTCGACTTACTCCACGTGTATGCGTAACTCTGATCGAAGTCGCATTTCTATTCTCGAAGAAGCGATAATACTAAACGCAAAGACCGCGTCTTGCAGAACCGTACCTGACGGCTCATGCGCACATGTGCTTTATTCCCTCAGTGCAGGTTTAGCAGTGTCTCAGGAGACAGGCATCAGGAACTACACGCTCCAGCGTTGAATACAAAGGGTTCAGCTTGGACAAGACCCTTGTTTCTCTTTGTAACTTTTGATTTCCTCTTCTGTTAAATGAAAGGGCCAAATAAGATTATTTCTTAACTCTCCTTCAGCTCTCTCATTTTTTTATCACTCTTTCTGAATTAACTCATCGGGTATCTCCCTTCCTTTTCTTCCTTTTCATCTATCTGTCTTCTATCTATCTATCTTCATGTATTTTCGAGGTTGTTTCAGAGGTGCATTTAAGCTAATGAATTTTAGAATCCTTCACTAGACTTCTTATAAATCAAAAAAAAAAATCAATTTCTAATTTATCTAATTTTATATTGTGAAGTCGATACTCTTTTTCTCAAAGAGAACATCCAGATTTGTATAGCTTTAGGCCCCACAAAGTTTGTATTTGCCCCTGAGTGGCTTAGGAAAAAAGACAAACGCAAATAAGAGTATTCAAATAGGGATTTAAAAGGAAGATGTGAAAAAAAGAACAGAAAGAAAGTAAGCCAAACATCATGTGAGTTTTACCAAGTCGAGCATCAAGTTGAGCTCTGTCTGAACCTCTGAGTTTTCTGGAAGGCAGGGTGGTGAGGGCTTCTGTATATCATGAACTCCTGCTATCGGAATGGAGGAAATGTTCAAAGAGAACAGAAATATTTAGTAATACTGAACTTGGAGAAATATCTCAATGCAACATTTTAGAGGAGATGAGATCATACTATGACCAAAAGCAGTATTTTCACTATGATAGAAAGCTTCTTGGAAACAATCTATACATTTCTGTTCAAATATACATTGAGCAACTCTTCTTTATCAGACATCGTCCTGGCAGATACAAGAGATACAGAAAGGAACGAGACATGGCACTTGTCCCCTCGAAGTTCTCAGGCAAACACACAGTTATAAAAATAAGTTGTTAAATGGCTCATGGAGAGCTGTACAAAGAGGTGTCTGATCAGAAAGGAGAGTGGCTAACTCACATCAGGGAGACGAAGAAGAAAGAGAAGAAATAAGTTCTGAGTTCAATTTTTAAGGTAAAAATATTCTTTACATAAGAGTGTCACTTCACAGGGAATGTTAAAAAAAAAAAAAAACTGCCAACATGGGTCTCGACAGTTTTTCTGAGCATAATCTGACTCTTATTTCATGATTTATGGGCACTGCCACTGCTGTAAGATGGGATCACATTCACTGATTCATCCCTCTCAGACCCCGAAGAAACCCATCTTTCACGAAATGCATTGTAGCCTCCCCATCTTATTTCCTTGAACATTTGAAAGATTTCTCATGACTTATTCATAGCCTTTTTAATGGATGGAATGGGTTTATTAAATTCTTTAGTAGTCCATAGAGAACCAAAAGCATGGTTTTTGGACATTCAATAAGCAACAGTAGGGGAGAAGTAACATTTGAAAATATACAAGTGGACACCCCTTGGCATTTAGCTATTTCCAACTTCAGGAATCTTTATTCCGGCGAGCATTTAAAAAATATTTTCTGAGCAGTTCCCATTTACAGCAATGGACTAGAAAGTGAATCACCTGGTAGCAGCTCAAAAAGTGATCAGCCACAAAATGAGGAAGAGCCTGAAATTCAAGCATCCAAGTGTGAGGTAATAGAAAACAGCTTCGTGAAGAAAAGAAGATCTCATAATGGCCTTGCTTGGCGAGGTCTGTCTAGCTGCAGTGAATGTTTGTCCCCTGCACTGGCGTCCCCAAAGGAATGGAAACATTTTTGCATCTTTCTAAAGTGTGCAGCTGCAGTGAGTACTTCATCAAACCGTATAGCGGGCTGGCTCTCCACTGCGGCTGGCCAAACACCCTGAGAACTTCACTTTGCATTATGCATGGCCCTCTAATGCCACGTACGTTTGAAAACACATGAAAAGTCTCTTCCTGCCATCCTAACTTCCATTCTCTTTGACGGATTACAAAAGGCAAGCAGTTTCTCGTGGTGGAGCAGGATTTTCAATCCTGGGGAAGTTTGAAGCTTCTGCAATTGATACTAAAATTATGATGCTGCCATTGTGCCTCACTCAACAGGGGATTTGCAAAGGGAAGAAAAAGGATTCAGTACCAAGTCCCTGTCACGCTGCAGCAAAGACAGTCTACCAGAATGTTGGGTCAGGAATTCAGCAGTTCTGTGTGGAAATCGCATTTGACCTGAAACTCAGTTCACAGGACAGAGTTGAAACAGGGAAGTGGAAATTTAGGTTTCCAGTTTGGGTTGATCAGTGATCGGTAATTAAACCGAAGCACCATGGATGCTGCGTGTAAAATCGAGAGAGTTTGAATGTGTCTAATAACTGAAAGAAAAGTTTTCATTCCTTCTAAGGTTTTTAAAAAATCATGGTAAGCTTTAATTTCTCCTCCCCCACCTCCCCACCCCCACCCACCCCCTCTAAGAAATAGGAAAACAGCTCTTGGTTTTAAAGAATACAAATCTCTTAGTAATGTACAGTGACTAGTTAAAATAAGCAGAGGGCAGTTGTTCAAAGATAAACACTAAAATAGAAGTTTAATGATTTCTACATTTACCACCTGTTAGTACACTTCAGCCATGCGGAGGATAAGTCTGAACAGCTCATTAACAGCTATCATTTATTGACTATGTACCATGTGTCAGACATTTTTATGGATTATCTTATTCAATCCTCACAGCAGCCCTATGCAGTAGGTATTATTAGCGACTTTTCAGATGAGGAAATGGGTGTAGAGAGGCTGGGAACTTGCCCGAAACCACGCAGCTGGTCAGTTGCAAAGCGGGACTGTCCCTCAATTCTGTCTGGTTTCCGTCCATCTCATGCTCTCATCCACACCACTACCAGAATTAAGTGGAGAAGATATAAATTTCTGACTTTTAATTAGCAATATCTATCATGATGTCCTAGCTTGATGAACCAACTAAATCAATAATAGTAATCATAGCAAAGATGGATATAGCACATACTACCTGCCAAGCAATGCCAAGGTCACAACCCAGGCAGCCTGACTCCCGTGCCCCTGCTCTTGGCTAAGAGTTTTCATCTAAATACAGACTAAATTTGTGCCCACAGTTATGCCAAGTCCAGCCACATTCTGAAATGGTTCCACCACCTTAGCACCACTTATAAATTAAAGTGGAAGCTAAAAAAATCAATGAAGTCCGTGATCAATATGAACAACCTAATGTAGTCTTGAATTATTCTGCTCAATTAAGCTTCTATTACAGAGTTTAATCCACATATCTGACAAGAAAAAGAGGAATAAAAATGATGGTTATGTGAAATTAATCAAATAAAGTGCCAAATGACTTTCATTAGCTAACACACGCATTTCATAACACATTTAAAGAGATCTATTGCAATGTGTGGATATATTTGCACACATCCTCATTGTGTCTATTTGGTACTCTGTGCCCAGAACGTAAGCCTCGTTTAATATCTGTTTTGAACCACGTACAAATGTTCATTAACCTTATAGGCAAACACAAAATGTTTGATCTCATGAAGCTGTCTTGAGCCAGCTGTTGAAGGTAAGTATTAATTGCCTAACTCCAATGAGCTCAGGAGTTCTAGAATGAAAGCAAAATGGTTTTGATAGATAGATATGTATTTGGGGTTTTTTTCTGTGCTTATTCCCTAAAGATCTGAATGTTATCAAATGTTACCTTTCTGACATTTTTATATTGAGTTCAATTTGCCATGTACTAATAAAGTTCTAACAGCTTTTCTTTATTGTTTTCTTTTTCTCTAGGTATCCCCAGTATTTCCAGTATTGGTAGTAAGTAAAAAAAAAAAAAAAAAAAATCACCAAACCAAGTCTAGGCTAGCTTTGCTTTGTTGTTCAGCTCCTCGGATCTATTTTCCCAGTGTCCATTTCTGATATAAGAATTTTCTTAGTGAATTGAAGTGCGTTTGTTCTCTGCACAGATATGATAAGACCACAGATAAAATAGTTATCTATGTAGAAGTCTTTTGTGGACATGGCAGTGCCACAGCCTTCATGGCCACTTTGGATCAATGGAGGCCACCTTTACAGAGGTGCAATTACTTAGGTGACCTTAGTTCATTTAGCAAAAATATAAACAGTTCTATTTACCCATACTTAACAACCAACAAACAAATTGCACTCTCTCCCTAGGACGGGATATGGATTTCTCCCATAATTTAGAAAAGCAGAGAATAGATGCCAGTGAGTGCTTCAGGCATATTCATTAGAACCCAAAGAAAACGCCATGAAACCTGGGGGAAGGAATTTTATTAATGCATCAAACTCTAGTCTTTGTGATGGCCTGAAAGAAGCAGGTTGTAATCATTAGTCTTTCTGGAGGAATGAAGGGGGAAAAAAAAAATCAGTCTGTCCATTTCTCCCTCTTGAAATACGGTGACCTATGTTTTTCTGTGACTACTTGGGTTTAAGTTTGCCAGAGAGAAGTGAGGAGTCAGGATACTAGAAGTTTCTGCAATCGTTTTTTTTAGTAGAAATATAAGCAATTGAAAAAGAAATGCCTCTTCAACCTTCTGTGTGTGGGACACTCATCCAGTACCATTGCAAAGAGCTTTCTCCTAGCCATTACGAGAGGATCAGACTGTAGCTTCCTCTTCACATATAAAACAATGACACGCCAACACAAGCCCAAAATGCTTGTTAAGGAAATGCCGCAGAACTTTGCAAAGCAGAATTTCACATAGTTTTTTGTACATTGCATTCTTTCTCTCTGATAGATAAAACCTTTGCCCAACTGCCAAATAACTGATTAGAAAAAATTACTGAGGAAGCCGAGACTTTACACTGTGAATAAGGTGAAGAATTTTCACTGTGGTCTCACCCCTCGCAGGCTTCATCATATGAGCTGTGCCATGCAGGGTGATTGCAGGATAAGCGGCGGCCGCTGAAGCATCACAATACCCAACATCCACCTAAAAAGCAATACTCTGGTAATTTGGATAAAACAACTTCCCGCGTCTTATCAATGCACAGTCAGGTCTTCCAATTCATAAATCAACCCAGTTTACTTAAGCTGGTGAATAGGACTGGACACGGATTTGTTAAGCGCTAGATGTGTTAAATTCCATAAAATCAGCCACTTTGGAAATAAAAGTATTGTTCACATCCATTTAGCTATCAGCCTAATGCTCCAGCATTCTCTTTGTGATCTTGTTGAGAAGACATCAGTGCTACAGATTTGCAAACGAAAACCTTTGGCTCTAATAATCTAATTTTTCTGCTTTAGTATCTCCCTTGGTATTTGCCTAACTGTATATACACCCCGCAATGTGTTTCTTTCAGGCCTTGACAATCACATTTGCACATGCATTTTAAAGCAAAAGGGAAACAAATGGCAGGAAGCCGAGACAGATGATCGAGGCTTCTGTGGTGATCTGGCCTGTCAAAACTTTTCAGAAATGGACGAATGGGAAGTAGTTCTTTGGGGCCGGGGTGTGTTTCTGTTCTGAGTGTCAGTCGCGTGTTGCATGGAATCTCTGACTGTTCCGCTCACTTGCCATCCCATTCGGCCGCCTCCACCACATGCCCCATCTCTGAGCATCAGCAGATGTTGACCTTTTACACACTGAATCGGGAAATTCCAGTTTTGTTTTGCTTTGTATTATTCTGAAATCATCGGTGACCTGAAAGGATGCTTTGTTGTGCCTTTGGAAAATGTATTAACCTTCATTATCAGGAACCTAGGAAAATCAGGTCCTTAATACCTAACCAAAACCCTCTAAGGAATAAAGCAGATAGGCTCATACCCTGCCTTCGTTATGCCTCTGGCTGTTCTGCTTTGGAGTACAATGGCTGTTTCCTGAGATTTCTCCCGCAGACAAGATGTAAGAGCATGCAGAGGTCACCCAACATCACACACGACTAGCTTGCCTGTTGCCCGGTTTTAAGGTCAAGAGATTTATGATAAAGCCATCAGACATGATCGTATCTCTTAGGCTGCTTTAATGGCATTCAAACCTTTCTTCTTTGTGGGCTCATAAGGTGCTCATGTGCCCTGGTGGATTAAGTAATCTCCAAAAGACAAGAGTTCATGCATAGATGACTCACTGCCCGTTCTAGAGGCACAGCAAGAGATTTCCAAGGTGCCAGCCAGAGAAGAGGGAGCCACTGGTCAAGGCTTTTCCCTTTAACCCGAAGAAGAAATCAGTGAGCACAGTTCCACCAAGTACACAGAAAGGTGCCATTATAACAGATATAGCACTCATGAGGCTCCCATCATCAAAGCACATCTCCAGGAAAACGAATGATGTTTATTATTGGCGTAAATTATTGCTGTATGCAACCATAAGTTCACATACGTATGCTATGTGCACGAAGACTGAGGGTTCTGGAGTCCTGATAGGTTTCAGTAGAGATCTCAAGCTGTCCACGCCCATATTAAGGTTCAAATGCGTGGACAGAGGGCTCATCCTTTCCGATCATCTGCCGAAAACAGTTTTGAAACAAATTTCCCATTAAGGTCATTTGTACCTACTGTTGTCTGTCTACTAGGAAAGAGATTTTCCAATCACTCCGAAGGTACTTGATTTAAAACTTGGTCATTCTGATGTGCTTTGGCCGTGGCTGAAAAAATACTGGTGATATTGTCAGCAATTAATGAATCCCAAAATAGATTGTAGCCATTGAGCCTTATGATCTGTTTTAACTTAACCTGATGTGATAGTAATTAATTCAGCTTCTTTTTTTTTTTAATAAAATGTATCATGCACTAAGTCAACATTCACGATATTTTATCCAAATGAACATTTGTTGATGCTGATGATCCGAATTAATAGTTGGTTTGGTGTGGGTGTTTTTGTTCAAGCGATAAACTAATCATTACCTTCTATCATATATTATCTGATCCTTAGTTCTGAAAAACAAGTGATTTTACTAATTATGTTAAACAGTATATTATAAAGAACATAATTAGAACAACAAGAATTGGCCTAATGTGCAAATAGCTTTGTGTGGGTGATTAGCACTTAAAAAAGCAGGTGACAGATGAGTCAGGTGAAAGGTAGATCATCTCCAAAAATGAAAGATCATATCAGGAAACACCATTTCAGAAAGTTGGAATTTTCTAATAAATCAAAGTATTTCTTAAAACAGTAACAAAAGAAGAGAGATGAAAACATTTTGTGAACCAGAGGATTCTTTATTTTCTTAAACTACTTTCAAATGTTTGCCATCATGGTAGGTAAAGCACAGAATATTGATGGAGGGGTTTGGTTGTCCCCTCCTCTCCAGCTTATTCAGTCTGAAACAACAGTTCACTTAAGGGACATACTCCATTTTCCTGTTTTCTTTTATAATGAGCGTTGCCTTCATCAGAGTTAAAAAATTCATCTCTAATTTGATTTAATTGGCAGAACCATTCAGGAAGGGAAGTGCTACCTGTAGGGATCCATCAGCCTGTTGAGAAAGCCCAGAGATGTTTTCATACTTGAGAACATTTGATGCCAGTGGGAGACCTTGTAAAAGTTGTTTTCCATCCAGCATCCAAATATTTTTGTTCAGTACCGGTTTACTATAGAAACCTGAATCGTGAGGAAAATAACAAGGTTAATCATTTCTCCACCCAAGGGTTATTAGTCACGGTGTTCACGCTACCCAGAGGGCTGCAGTGTTTATTTTTTATTCCCCCCCCCCTTTGCTTTCATACTTCTAAATCCCCCAAATAAAAGTTTCATTTGAATTGCCCTTTAACTAATTAGGTTTTATATAATGAGGGAAAAAATGATCAGGCTAGTGTAGCTATACAACAAATTGCAGGGTGAGCTACATTAATTTCGAACTGTTTGCTGATGTTCTAGAAGGAAAGCTAAGGTCCCAGGTGAAACGCCTTGGGGACTTTGTTCTATCGTGTACCCGGTATCCTCATCACAGATCCATTTCATACTTGTGTAACTAACATTTCACATTCATGAAAACTTTGTGGTTATCCTAAGATTGAATGAACATTAGGACATAGCTGCTTCTTTAAATCCTGAAGAATAAATCAAATATTTCAATGAAGGCGGGGAAAGTATCCCCTACCTTAAAAAAAAAGAAAAGAAAAGAAATTCAAGAGGTTTAGCAGTCTTTATTGACAACAATTTTTCACCTTGAGCAAATTGACTTTTTTCACATGTTAATCTTTTACCAGGTGAATTTAGAATGTAGAGCCACTTTTTAAGTGTGAGCTGATATCTGCACCTTTGCTGTTATCTCTTTGTGGGGGCACATGGAAATTCCTAACTTAAACAAAGATTTGCCAAGATCTCCGAAACGTCCTAGGATGAACCTTCAAACATGTAACTGTGAACTCCCGCACTAAGAGTGTGGGTATCATTGAAGTCTTCGAGTACCAATAGGGAGCTGGCCAACTAACAGTTCCACGTCCCTGGGCAGAGTTAGAGCTTCTGCTTAGAACTGGTGGGAGATGTTCCCACATGTCTATACAAGTCCATTTTTAAAATGGTGAATCTGAGCCTCAGAGTGGCCAAGCAACTTGCCCAATGTAATATGTCTAGGAAGGCTTATCTGACTCCAAAAGCTACACTCATTACATTATATCAAGCGAACTAGGTTAGAAGGAAAAATTCTAGATTTATTGACTCCTACTCCAGACTCTTTATAATCCACTACACTGCACTTTAGACCTGTTGATCCCTGAATTGACCCATTTCTGTGCAAGGAACTTTAGCGTCTTGGAGGAAAACAAATTCATTTCCAGGTACCTCACTGTGTCGTCAACAGAAGTCAACGATTATCACATCTGAAGAGAGGGAGTAGAGGACTGAGACTGTCCC